CCCAGCTCCTGGGCTTCCGTGCCTGCGGTCCTGGGCCTCGGCTCACGGTTTTGGGCCCCGCGGCCCCCGGGGCTCCCGAGCTACCTTTGCTCCCGGGCTCCCGAGCTCCCAGGCTCCCGTTCCTGGGCTCCCGGGCTGCCGAGGCACACGGGTTCCCTCGTTCCCGAACCTTGGCTCATGGGCTCCCGCGTTTCGTCCTGAAGCCCCGGTCCCGCATGCGCCCGGGCTTCCGGTCCCAGGCTCGGGGGCTGCCCTGGCTTCTCTTTGGCCGTCACTCGTGGGTCCTCCGTGGCCGTCACATAGTTATATATTTATATATGTATATATATATATGGGTGTATGTATGTATGTATGTATGTATGTATGCATGCATGTATATATGTATGTATGTATGTATGTATGTATGTATGTATGTATGTATGTATGTATGTATGTATGTATGTGTATATATATACATATATATATATATATATATGTGTGTGCGTCGGTGTGTATATATACAGATCGTATAGATGTAGGTGTGTATGCATGCGTGCATGCATGCATGCATGTAAACATGTGTGCGTGTCTGTATGTATGCATGTATGCATGCATGCATGTATGCATGTATGTATGCATGATCGTACTTATGCATGTATATCAGTATAACCGTATGTATGTATGTATGCGTGTTGTGCGTGTATGTATGGGTGTATGTATGTATGTATGTATGTACGTACGTATGTAGGTATGTATGCATGTATGTATGCATATATATATATATATGTACGTATATGTGTATGTATGTATGCATGCATGCATGCATGCATGTATTTATGCATTTATATATGTATGCATGGATGGATTGATGGATGCATGTATGCATGTATGTATGTATGTATGTATGTGTGTGTATGTAATGTATGTATGTATGTATGTATGCATGCATGCATGTATGTATGTATGTATGTATTTATGTATGTATGTATGTATGTATGTATGTATGTATGTATGTATGTATGTATGTAGGTATGTATGTATGGATGTATGTATGTATGTATGTGTGTATGTATGTATATGTATATATGTATGCAGGCATCTATGTATGTATGTATGTATGTATGTATGTACGCATGCATGCATGTATGTATATATGTACGTATGTATGTATGTATGTTTGTTTGTGTGTATGTAGTCATATGTCTGTCTGGCTGTCTGTCTGTGTGTCTGCCTGTCTGTCTGTCTGTATGTACGTATGTATGTTTGCTTGTTTCTGTCTGCGCAAATCTGTATGTACGTATATATATATATATATATATGTATGCATGTCAGTGCGTATATATGTATGTGTGGATATATGTATATATGCATGTGTCCGT